CCAGTGTTGATCAATGCATGACAAAGCGTAGAAGCCAGAATATTATAATCCGTAACTCGATATGCCAAGCCGAATACCATTCCCTATCCAATCCATACTGTCAACACAATTCTCTTTATCCTCTTTCATCGATCATACCCCTAAACTATCCACTGCACAAGTTAAAAGGCGATTCCCCCATTGATGTTCATGTCCCCAATGACTAGAACCAAATAGAATCGAACTAAATATCAAAGTACAATAAGGATATTGAGGGAAATTTCCATCTAATCCTGCCAATACAACTCCACGAAAAAGAATCTAATACTCTTCCAATCAGCAACATAAAATAGTCACAACCACAACTTACTTCTTCCACCAAAGCAACCGTAAAGAACAAATGGAAAAATACCAATACAACACTCAACAGATGACCCACGGTAAGACTGCCTTCCATGATCCATTTCAAACGATCCCATGCCAAAGGTGGAACTATAAAATAACTTTTTGTTGTTCAATCATGATGGATGGAAAGCAAATTACCATAATGTAATGCAACTGCTATAGGAAGAAACATGGTCAACCCCAAAGCACACGATATAGCAACAAGTATATCTCCAAGTTGCACCGGATAAAGTCGAAAATGGAAACCAGGTAGTTTACGGAATATTTTCCAACCCATTATCGAAAGATTGGAAAACATGAGTGACCAAAAATCATAGACAAAAACTTGTCTCCCAAAAAACAAATCCTTTCCATATCATCATTCTCTTTTTCCTTTTATCAAAACTTTCATCCCTACTTCATTCCAATGACTATCGAGTGTCACCCACATGAGTATCCAAGCAGTTGCATCCGACCAAGTAAGTCCCACAATACAACGGAGTTGTGGTTGATGGAGACTATAAACCATTCAACAATACTTGACGAGCAGAGATTCTCAATATTGTTCCAATACTGTACCTTCCAAGAGCACAAACAAAAACTATGATAGAAAATATATTTATCGAGCCTTCAAGACCACCAGAAATATTAAAGGATATTGCTCCAAGAAGTGCAAAAACAATACAAACAACCAAGACTGGCCATATTTCAGTGGAATCCTGCAATAGCCACTCTATTTTGTTTTGCACTCCCTGATGTCCCAAAGTTAATAAACAAGCAAGTAATGGACAAAGTCCCTATAAACCATTATAATAAGCCAAAGAATGATCTACACCGACTTTCTTACAAAAAATATACCCAACCACTGAGGACGAAATAGGAATACATAAGTCATATCTGACTGAAGAAGACGTCCAAAATACACCATAAAAGCCAACAAATAGTTGATGCATAATATGATGAGTATGGTAAGCCAACTGTACATTCGCTTACAACTTGGACTATTGTTTTGTCCTGATACAATCATACTAGAAAAAGTATAGGTGGGAGGGCGTGTATCAACAGACAAGCCTTCAAACAAAGGTCTTTCCTCTTCTACTTGTATCGTTGTATTGTAATGACTTGAGTTGCTAGTTGGACTTTTAAAAGAGTTTGTATAGTTGACTTTAGGAACGTAACTTGGGTCAATTGAGTCGATCATTTTGAGTTTTCCATTTTTTACCAAAACCAAATGAATATTTCAAAAGTTTCGTAAACCATCCAACCATCACCATCAGATAATATATAAAACTCTCTTAAAACTATAAGTTATGATAGTTTCTCTTTCTCATTCGCCTATTGATGAAGAACAGTACTTTTTAAATAACAAGAATAAAGCCATTCATCATGGCTTTCTAAGGCAAAGACTCATTCCAACGAATACTTATATAGACGACTTGAGGAAAACCTTCTCCATTCTTTACACTGTCTATATAAGCAAGTGTAGCTCTCTTCTTGGTCGATACGCCTAATCTTCCAAACGCTACCAAATCTCTTGGGGAAATTTTTGAATCTTGTTCTGCGACTACTACTGCTAATGAAGCATGAAAGAGAATAGGATCATCTGCATATGCCAAAAAGTCTGCTCCAAACTTTACACCAGAAGAAATATAAAAGCCTCTCTTCCATAAATCATGAAATACCGTTAGTCGTCTACTAGCAAATGAATGAAAACCAAACGATGAAAGAAAATCAGGATATCGCATTCCTTTACGAAACAATACTACAACTGAATCTATGTCCTTCGGCTCCTCTACCAGAATAACCTCCTTTGGATTCCAATCCAAAGATTGCGTGCCTCTTCCAGTAGAGTCTGTCTGAACCACTGGAACAAACTCTCCCTCGAGATAAGTTTGTTTTAGACTTTTTCGAGATATGTTATTATGCCAAGTTCTTTTCCAATCCCAAAGAGACTGTAAAGAGTGGAACAAATTTGAAACAGCGTTCTTACAAAAGTGGCCAATAACACGTCGGAACTTTTGCGAAGCACCCAAGTTTTCTGCAGGTTCTTCCAAAGGCGAATCGGATACGCTCATCTCAGAATAGTTTCTCTTCTTCTTCTTCAATCTTTCCTAAAAATGATAAGAAGAGAGGTTTCAGCTTGAGTATGCAACGCTTACAGGAACCAACTGAGGAGAAACTTGCTTCTCCCGACTGTCTTTCCAAGTGACCAATTCCAAAAAACCTAGATTGGAATGAAACGATAGGATTGAAACCAATGGACAATAAGAATACCATATAAACAACCCAGAGAAACTTCTTCTACAGAGAGCTGAAGTGGTAGACCTAAATAGTCGTTTTGACTTTTATGACCAACAAGTGTGCCAACAAGCTCTCCAACTATACGATGCTTCGTTCGTAATCGTTTCACATCTTCTAAATTCCATATCAAAAAGACCTTGGCTTTCTTTTCTACAAACACTCGAATAGGTTCGTCGTCATCGTCACGAGGACTCTTCATTTCCAATCTAAAGGAAATGAATCATTTACGCTACAAAGACTCATTTACATTATGCCATACAAAAGAAATAGCTAGGTCTACTAGTTCCAAATACTGTTATTCGCCTTTCACATTCTAAAACACTGTTATCTCATTTCATGATAATGGAATAACAATATATGAGACACTGGCTAAGAACTTGTGATTAGAAGAAACATAACTTGCAAAAAGTTTGTAAAATTGTAAATAATTTGTGCGTTTACTATCTCTGGTTCAAAATATAGAATGCCGTTGTCCCTCTCATCCAAGGAAGCTCAAATCTCACGAGGGATCGAAAGATTGGCAGTTGTTGGAGAGGATCATGACAGATCCTAGCTTTCTCTCATCCTGTATGCTTTGCACAAGGAAGAAGGACTGGGACACGTTGAAATTATCAACAAGAAATTTGAATCAACTTCATGGATCCAAGTATGAAACAAAACGAAGGTTACTCTGTTTCACTTGTGTAAGTCAGTCGTCGTTGTCTGATTACGGTTACTTTGGCGAACAAGGTAGGAAAGTAATATCTGTTGCAGCAACTCTTTCTTAAACTGTGTTAAAATAGAAAGCAACAACTCTTTTCAACAAGTACCAAGTCATTGGAAGGAGATGATTAAAGACGTTCATCGCTGTTTTGTAATTGCTTGTATACCTGGAAAGAAACCCTATACTTTGGCTCTTTCCGATTTCATCTCTGCGACTGCAGCATGCTTCAAAAGTGGAATTCCTTTAAAAACTTTAAAAGAATCGCTTGAGAATATGAAGGAAACTTATTTTCGACCCTTGAAAGTTGAGGAATTCGAACTTCTTCGAACATGGCTTACATTGGTATACAAAACACTAAAAGAAGTATTGTTTCCTCTGACAGAAAATAAGCGTGGTATTTGTGATACGGATGACTCTATTTATGATGAGTTTGTAAAGAGTATTGTGACTGCAATTCGCGAAGGATATTCTATGGAAAAAATCCGACTAGAACAAGTCGTAACCAACACGAAAACACAACCTCGAACTGAGTTTGAGTCTGCTTTATTATCCCAGAGCACTCGAATTGTTGTACAAACAGTGCAAATCGCAAAGGAATTTTCTTCAGAGCAGTAAATTTCTTTTTCAACTTTCTTCCTAACATTGGATAATATGAAAGAAATCGCTGTAATTCTGCGCTTTTCACATCTAAAGCAACAGTCTCCTCAACAGGCTACTGTTTTTTCTAAGAATCGAAATATTCTCGAAAGAAGCTTGCGCTTGAAAAAAATATTATCATTTTTTTCATCTCCCGATTTTTAGAGCAGTACAAATAATTTTGTAAATAGTTTTTTTTGTGTAACTCTTCAAGAAAAATGAAAAAAAAACTTTTGTGAATGTTAGTTAAAAATGAACCTGTTCACATTGCCAATAAAATATCTTCAAATTTTAAAATATAACACATAGCAATTGGAATTACTCACATTATTACATAAGAATTAACCATAATACTTTATTTTTTGAGGAAAAATTTAATTCATTCTTATATATTTAGAATATTCAAGATTTAATACAAGCCGAATCGTTTTAAAATAAAAGCGTCCATCACCAGAAATCTTACAATTTAATGCTTGTGCAAAACTCATAAAATTAATAATTCCTTTTCTCAAAACGCTTCAAGACTTTTATTTGATGCAAATGATTATGCTGCTATTGGTATTTAGTATGTTCGCTGACTAAGGTCAACTTTGCTTTATCACTGATGATGTCTAGTGATGCGCTCAGTGCTGCCGACCTCTTAAAATTCTTGCAATTTTATTTTTTGTTGGCTCTTATAGTTTAAAAACTGCTTCGTTCTTTTATCCTTGTCTTTCATATTATGAAATAGCACACTATCATTTAGTGGAGCGCTATTTTTCGAGAAACACAAGCAAGAAGTTTATGTAAAACAAGTTTCAACGCTTCCAGGACTTTTTATTTGAAGCTAGAAATTTCTTTGGGATTTTTGCGGACGTTAAGGAAGTAGACTTTGGAGATAAATAAAGTAAAATAGTTTCTTTGATGCAGCACGGTGCTGTAGCAATGCTCTTGGTTAAATTTGAAACTTAAAACCTGCCAGTGCTGAATCTCATTTTCGATGATATTATTTTGTATTTGCATTTATCTCTTGAAGAAAATACGAACAAATACATTGACTCTTGAAATATTTTTCATAACCAATTTGAACTGCAACTTTGCATATCCAACAATGACGATGATCTTCTTGTCTACAACACGACTGACTCGTAGTTTTGGAATTGAACGTAGAAAAGTCTTCTTTTAGTCTTTTCATCGATTAGTCTTATCACCGTCGTTTGTTTTCTCGTGTTTTTTACAAAGAATGATTTCGTTTGATATTAAATATGCAACTTGTTCTACAGGTATACAGCGAAACTTAGCCAACTACCATTTTACTTGGAACAGTTGGATACCACTTTTGACTTAGCGTAATGAGCCTCTAACAAAGCCATTATGGTTACTTGCAAGTACATTACAGAAACAAGAAGAATACTATTATTACCTTTACAGCTTGAATATATTTTCTCGTCTCTTCATCGTTCATAACATGTGCAATTTTACCTTCTGATATCTTCTCTCTCGCAGTACGAGCATGAATACCAACCATTGTAGCTCTAACCATATTTTAATCGACAAAAACTAGTCGTGACTTGTGCTTACCCGACAGGCCAAGGTGCATTTCCTATTGCCAACCTCAAATATTCATCATTGGCCAATACATACTCTCTGAAGTGTTATCCATCCATCAGAACAGTTGTCAAACGGAATGCTATTATATATATAAAATACATACCTTTGTTCTACATATCGTAAAATCTTCTCAAGAGACGTGAGAATGCTCTTGTCCAGCTGTTGTTTTTTCAATTTTCGAAAGAGTGGTTTCAGATATTCCTTCAAGACACAGTTCTGTATTCAAAAAAAATTCCGAGAGTCAACGTCAACTTACCTTTGTTTGTTCAAAAGTGGCCAACGTCTTCCTTCCTAGTGAAGTTCTCTTTGTCTCTTCATCTAGTTGTTCTACTTCAGCCTTCCACATCTTAAGCAATCTTCTCATATAACGAAAACAATATTCTTCAGGAGTTTTAAAAAACTCTGGACCTTCTTCTGCTGCGTATATTTCTTCTTTCACTTTCTGAGCTGCTGAACCTTTAGAGGGCAACTCCATTTCCGTCACTCTATAAAAGTTTTCCAACTCATCCTTTTCCTTAAATTGTCTCAATTTTTGTTGAAAAATATTTCTTTGGCCTTTGCTTTCTTCTGAATTGCGTAGTTCTAAATCCCTTAGTCGAATATAACGTTCATAATCGGTCTCTCCAAATAGAGTTGCAGGTTGTTCCCAAGCTCTTAGTCTTTCTATTACCTGGTCAAACATAAAAGGTTATTATCAATCAACCATAAAAATTTTTCTCTTTCCTACTTCTTCTTTGAGAAGCGGTGGTTCCTTGTTACTCGTTTCTGTTCCATTTTCTTGCTTTGACTCTATTGGAGAATGTGCTTCAAGAAAAGTCTCTTGTTCTTGTATTTTATCTTCCTCTTTCCATTGGTCACCTATTCTTTTCCATTTCTTGGTTCTATTTTGTGTTTGCAACTCCGCCTTTCTCTTTTCAACTTGAGACTTGAGAGCCAACAATGCTTTGGACATGTGAGAATTATTTATTGTTATTACATTTGATTATTTTTGGGGTTTGGTGGACGACTCTTATGACATTGTATGATTGGAATCGTTCTCAACTTTTGTACAAATATGCACAGTCTACAGTTTTTCATAATAGCAAGTTGGCCGAAAGCAGCCTAGTCATACTGCCGATGGGATGGAGACGTTTCTTTTCTTCGGATAACAACAACTCTTCCAATCCAGAAAAACCAGCCAAAACTACTTTAGATGAGATCCGAACATCGAAAACTTTTCCTCGTCTTCGAATAAAACCAAGAAAAAGGAATATCACGCCGTTGGCAGTGGCCATCGTTGCCATTCCTTTTTTCGCTGTCGGGTTTCGTGCTTATAGAGAGCCAAGTAAGTAGCGTTTAGTACAATACAACAGCGTTGGATAACAGTTGTGAGGTTTCTATGATGAACTGCAATCTTATATCCCCTTTATATTGCCCAACCGTAAAGTGAGTGCCCACCTATCATCTTCTAAAACAGATCAAAGTACAAGTAACCACGATAACAGCTCAGACAACTCGATGGCTTCCGTAGTTGATGACAACATATCTCCTCCAGAAAACTCATCCAATACAACTTTGATAGGATTGTCAAACGATGAAGAGAGCCATCCATCTAATCCATCGAGTAGTGAAGACGAAAGCGATATTTCTAAAACGATACTCAAGACAGTCCATTCTTTTTCTGAAACTCTGAATGAGGAAATGAACCACAAAAAGGATTCCACTTGTATTCTTTTATCAACAATGAAGGTATACAACGAAGGAGCCAACTCACAAGATAACGAATGGTTGACAACTCATAGAAGAGAATCTCCTATGAGAGATATTTTGGATAAAGTTCATAATGAAAATCTCACAATGGACGAACTGAAACAACAAATTCAACAGGCAATAGCACAACTGGAGGAACAGAATAGATGGGAAGCTTTTCGTATTCAAGAGGCAGTTCGAGCACAAGCCTTACAAGACCAACAAGAATGGGAGAAAAGAAAAGAAGAAATGGAACAGTATTACAGTCAAAAGTTTTTAGAGGAATGGAAAGTGATTCAGCAAGAAATGGAAAGAAGATTAGAAGAACAGTTGAAATATGGTCACGAAACTATAGAATCTCAAGTAAGAGAAGAAATGGAAGATAAACTTGCCAAACGCTCAGCAGAGTTAGAAGAGGAATACGAACAACGAAGAAAGGCTTTAGTAGAAGAAATGGATGCAAGATTGAGAGGAATCTTAGAACAGGAACGGAAGAATCGCCTTCGAATGTTAGAAAACTTACAGGTTCAAGTGCGAGCTCTCAGGAGTCAATTTATGGAGAATTCCAATTTTCAACATTTAAGTAGTTATGCTCATCGAATCTCTTGTATTGCTTATGGATTGGAGGGATTACTCGAAGGAAGTCGACCTTTTAGGAAGGAATTGGAAAGGATAAAGAGCATCATTTCAGAAATGTCTATGAAGGAACCCACAAGAGCTGATAAAGTATCCGATGTAGAAATGTTGAGTTATCTTATCTCGACTATTCCTAAAGAAGCAGCAGAGAGAGGAATTCCTAGTGAAGCTGAGTTGATTCATCGATTTCATAGAATTTTGAAACATTTGCGACGTGCTGCTTTGATTCCAGAAGAGAAAGTATCCTCTTTATGGTCCCATATGGTGGCTTATGTAATTGCCTGGTTGAAAATTCCTGAAAGAGTGTTATCCGAAGGGAATGATGCGGAGTCTAAGATTTCACGTGCTGAGTATTATGTGACTAAACATAATTTATTGCAAGCTGTGAGAGAGTTGGAGGGTTTGAATGGTTTATGTGCTGACTTGGCTTCCGACTGGCTTTCCCTTGCAAGATGGAGAGTTACAGTACAACAAGCGGTACAAGTAAGCAGAGCGTTTGTTGTATTAGAAGAGGAAGCTTTGGCATGAAATGGATTTTCATGAAGTAGAAGACTGTTTGAAATAGGATAGCTTTGCTGTCTGGAATAGATGGAAGACTTGAGGAAATAGAAAGTTTCCTATTGCATTGCCTATTTCGTATCCAATAAAGTCCTTGTTTATGGTTTAAGTTGAATACTATTCAGATGCTGATGCCTCGTCTTATAAATTGTATTCAACTGGAAAGGGAATGTTATTAGGAACTCCAGTTGCATTGGGTAATTGAGAAACTGGTATAAGAACAGGTATGTCCGTTGGTTCAGGAGCTTCTGTGATAAGAGGTATTTCTATTTGCAGATGGTCTGTCAAAGTGAGGACAATAGGAACTCTTAAAATAAAAGATGATGGTGTGTTGTGTGCTTCCTAGAGATACAAAATAAGTGTCAATTGAGTGACATGTATTAATTTGTTTTGAGATATACCTCTGCATTCTCTTTCTCACATTCAACAAAATTCCAGAAAAAGAAACAACATAGAAGAAACAAAAAAAATGTGTGCTTCTTAAAAGACATAACTGAAACGAATAGATAAGACTCTTAGGAGTGGAATCGATCGATATTTCAAATCCGTAGGCAATCGATTGCATTTTTTTCCTGAGCAGTTTTCTTTTTGGGCGGTAAAGATGAAAAGAAGAAGAATGAATTTGATTTTCTAGAGGTGGATGAAAAGGGGGGGAATGTTAGACTTGTGTACGGGTCATTATGGGCAACTCTCTTGGTTCTTCCAACTCCAGTGACCTATTGAACCTTAGAAACTCAAGGACAAGTCTAGCTACCTCTAGAGAGTCGGTATCCCGTAATAGCTTTGTCACAAGAGATAGAGCTTTGGCTGAAACAGCAGTGGTGGTTCCTAGAAGGCAAAGAAGAAGACAGTCTACACGTAGAAATGACGCTGTACTCTTGTCTTTAAGTCGACTCATTGTAGAGACTGGGAGACATGCAGACTGGGTACAAGTCAATGACTCCTGGGATGAGCAAAAAGTAGAAACTTTAGTGGAAGCAAAGCTGTTGGCCCCAAGGCAGCAGGGACTGGACGAACCATTTGCCGAATACCAAGAAGAATGTCCCATATGCTTTTATTTCTATTCACAAGTAAACAGAAGTTCGTGTTGTAACAAGGTGAGTTTATACTTGGCGCAATTGCTTTCCACTTACCGCAATTGCTTGCAGCCAATTTGTACCAATTGCTTTGTTTACATACAAAGAAAGATTCGAAAAAAATGTCCTTATTGTAACAAATGGGGTTTGGAGGTTTATCTACCGAAACATAGTTGCAGTAACGACACTAAAATCCATGAAACACAAAAGTGGTCTTCTAAAGACAAAGAGAGCTTGAACGTAGATTGGAGCAGTTTATCTAATTGTACGAGTTTCTGTGAAAAAGATCATTGTATTCACTCTTCGAGTGATGTAGAGAAGCTTGAAGAAATTGCAATCCTTCTCTTGTTGAGGAAGGCATATCTTCTTTGGGTTCCATGAGAAAGGAGAGTTGTCTATCCAGTGAAACAAAGGATTGGGTTGCTTGTGGGGAATTGGATAGTCAGAAGAAGAGTTGTCATAAAGTTCTTTGTGGAGAACAAGTCTTAAATGAATATAGTTTGATAGATACTTCAGAGTCTATAGAAAGTAGTTGTGATATTTCATTAGATGAACAGCTTTATAATATCAATGACATGAAAGAGGACCTTTTTGAAGACGAAACGCAACAACAATCATCAGAAACTTCAATACTTGAGCGTTCTAGATATAAGTCATCTATTCGAAGCATGGATGAGAATCTTTTAGATTCTTTAGCACTTGCTACCAGCAGTAGTGCAGTTTCTTCTGAAGTTTCGTCCATGGAATGTTTTGAAAGAAGGGAAGATTCAAATATTTGTCCTCGGAGTATTGATGAGTTGAATGACAAGTCACTCTTCCATATTGAAGAGAATGAAGAAGAAGATATGTTTCTACAGCTTTTCAAGGTTGAACGATCTTATGATAGCAGTGTAAGGTTAGATAGTTTGATCCATTTACCTAGTGATGAGGAAAAAGAAACATAGTCACACATTGTTTTACTATTATGTACTATAAAATATTTTTTCAGAAATGTTTTTAAAGAACTTTCTACCGTTTTTTATGTGAATGGCTATGCTATCCTCTTTGAGATAGTGAAACAGTAGGCATGGCATTGAATCAAGTTCATGAAATCTGACTGTGTACCATTTTGTCTTTTTCTCTTTGGGAAACAAACAATCCCTCGTACGGCAGTGTGTTGAATAACCCAACGATGAACAACAATATGGCTCAAACAGATAGTTTGGAGAATATGAAAGTTTCAGTATTGAACTCGTTGAATGAACAAGAAACACAGATGAATGGGTGGTTGAACGAAGGAATGAAACAAAAGGACAAGTTGAAGATTCTTAAGAGACAAAAGCGAAGGAAGCAACGAAAGAATAGGTCAACCAAAGAAAAATTTGTCTTCTCGAGTGAAATCACAAGTGAAAACGATGTTCAAATAGATTGGGAAGAACCAAAGTTTGAGGAAGAAGCGGGATACTTGGACGAAGAGTGGAAAGGACAGTTCCAGGAAATTTTTCAACGATTTTACCAACGTCAAGACTCCATTGAAATAGATGAGGAGCAATATTTAGAGCAAAACGAAAATTTCAGTGGGGAACAAGAACAAGGATTGAACAAGGATGTAGAGGTAGTACAAGGAGTTGACTCGTCGCAACAGGACTTTTCAATGGGACAACCCAAACTGACAAAAAAGGAAAGGAAGAAACTTATCAATCTAAAGGTAGCCAAGTTGAAGCAACAGGTGGCAGACCCTGAAGTAGTGGAACAGTGGGATGTGACTGCAGCGGATCCTAAGCTGCTCGTATATCTTAAATCATACCGCAATGCCGTTTCTGTTCCCAGTCACTGGAGACAAAAAAGAAAGTATTTACAAAATAAGCGAGGCATAGAAAAGCCGCCTTTTCAGTTACCACCTTTTATAGCCCAAACTGGTATCCAAAAGTTGCGAGATGCATACAAGGCTGTAGAGGATGAGAAGACTATGAAGCAGAAACAGAGAGAAAAAGTTCGTCCCAAACTAGGAAAAGTGGATATAGACTATCAAGTTCTCCACGATGCTTTTTTCAAGTTTCAAACAAAGCCGAGACTTACCAATCCTGGAGATCTTTACTACGAGTTTAAAGAATTGGAACCTGATCGAGCAGGCTTTAAGCCAGGAATATTGAGTGATCAGTTGAGAGAGGCGCTTGGAATGACTTCTTCTATTGATCCTCCTCCTTGGTTGATTAATATGCAGAGATATGGACCTCCACCTAGTTACCCTCGTTTAAGAATTCCAGGATTGAACGCTCCTATTCCTCCAGGTGCATCTTTTGGTTATCAACCTGGTGGATGGGGAAAACCTCCAGTTGACGAATATGGTCGACCTCTTTATGGAGATGTTTTTGGTGATGGAAATATATCTGAATATGCTCCTGGTTATGGCACTGAAGAGATTTATGTGCCTCCAGAAGCTCACACATATCATTGGGGTGAACTAGAACCTATAGAAGCCGAAGAGATGGAAGATGGGGAACAACAACAAAATGGAGAGGAAGAAGAAGAGATGGATGAAAATGCAGCGGAAATGTACGATATGCCTTACAACAACTCACAGAGTCGTGAAGAGGAATATGCAAGTGGAATGGAAAGTTCAAGTTCATTTCTACCCGGTGGAGTTGCTACACCTGCGACAACAGTTGAATTGCGAAAGAGTTCACAGTTACCTAGTGACTATCAGAATGCGAATTCTGCTTCTAAACACTTGTATCAAGTTGTTCCTGAGAAGAAAGCAGAGATTGGCAACTCTATTATGGCGACAAGTTTTGTTTACGATATTCCAAAGGATAGTCAATTAAATGCCACAGGGTCTAGTGAAGTACAAGTCAGCATCTCTCCTGATGATTTGCAAAAGTGGAATAGAGAGAAAGCAAAAGAAAAGTATGAACAAGCCAAAATGGATAAAAAGCAACAAGCAGAATATCAAAAAGGAGAGGATGTGAGTGACATCGTTGCAGAGGGTTTGGCAAAGCAAAATAGAGAACTTGAGAGAAGGAAACGCAAAGACTAGTAGAGAAGAGCAGGTTGATATAAAAGAATACAGGAGCTAATGAAAGAAAGCGTAGAATTTGTAAGGATGAAACTATTAAGACCAATGTCATATTTACGAATACCGGAGACTTTACTACTTCAAATAGTATGGCTTAGTTACTTTGGAAGCGGTAGATTCTGATTGGCCACATCAACAGCAGTAGCACTCAGTTTGACAAGATGCTCTACATCTTCTTTATATTTATCTGCCTGTTGTCTTGTATCCATTACTTGATTTTCCAATTCTTTGACTGTTTTAGTTAATTCATTCTTTTCCTTGCATAGTGTCTCTTTCAATTTTAGTTTTTGTTTGATTGCAATAGCCTTCATCCAGTCTGTAGGATCTTGCTCGTTAAATGGTATTCTTATATAGCCGTTTTTATCGACGTGGTATTTTTGAAAGAGCTGGTCACAAATATCAAGTTTACTAGCAATGTCTTTCTCTTCGACTAGTAAATGAAATTCTTGCTATAATAAATTTTAGCAGAAGTCTTTAGGTATTATTTGCAGTTACCTTTAGTCTTATCTCTAAGAGTTGTTTCAGTTGTTTATTGAGCAACTCAAAGTCCTCGGGATAGACGGAGGAGACTGGTTGGAAGCATTCTGAGAATTTGGAGTAGGAGCATCCATTTTCTAAGAAAGTAGAAACAGCTTTTTCAAAGGCACGTTGTAAAAGTTGAAACCTTGAAGAGTGCAAGTCATCCGTATGAGTTTGAAACCGTTTTGAGTGGATCATCACAAAGACTTGAGAACCGTTTCAAACCTAAAATGTAATTTTCCCAAATTTTGGCGCCCAAAATGACGAAATGCGCAAGTCATATCCTTTCTAGCCTATGAAACAAAACACTTGGAAGCACAAAAGTGAAATGGCTACAAGTACTTGTTGTTCCTCGGCTCTTTTTCCTGTACAAGTGAATTCGGAACGCTGCAAGATAAGTGAAAGAACTTTGAAAGATTGTTTAGAACTTGCTTTGCGAAATTTGGTTGAAACGGTTTGTAACCAACTAGAAAATATGAAACACGAAAAGAATTCGAATATTTCTTTCGATGGAACGCAAACTTTGGAGAATGGGTTGGTAGATAACGATTCAACGGAGCTGATACTTTCCTGTAAATATTTGGCTCATGTCGTAGGAAACTTATATTCCTGTCTGCAGGGATATCTCAACTCTTATCGTTCGAGAAAACTTGGTTGCAAACAGAGTGAATCACAGTTCTACTCAAACTTTGAACGGGTTTCTTTGGAACTTGAAAATTTACTTGAATACTTACAACGAAACTATTCAGTCTCTCACAAGAATGAATTGTATTATGTCTTTTCCTTGAAAGCTATTCGTATCGTAAACTTGTACGTGCTTGCCAATTTACTCCATCGTAGCCAAGTTTATCATAGTTTTTGGAACTATTTGGATGCTGAAATTGAGTCCTGTTCAAAAGTAGGTCCCGTTCCCATATTGCTAACTGATGTTTCTTCCAATACTATTGATAGCGAAAACGGTGTCTTATATTTGAGTGGCATCGTTTTGCAGGAGTGTCTGGAAAATGTTGGCAAATTTCTGTCTTCTCAAAAAGGCAAAGAAGTGATAAAGGATGAGGTTCAAACCATTGCACTACTTGTATTGCGTATTGCGACCAAGACAAACTCCATTTGTACAAACAGTCATACTTGTTGGGATTGGAGAACTCGTAGCCATATTTGTATCGACTCGTTAGAGACGAAAAGGTCCTCCTCTGCATCGGAATGGATGGATAGTGATGATTCAAGTAGAAACAGTGAGACATTTAGAATACAACTAAGAGCACTCATGTTATTTCAACAATTAGCTAGTGACTTTGGTCATCAGCTTGTACCAACTTGGAATATTATCTTTCCTTGTGGAACAAAAGGTCGGCAATGTGACTCTATAACAGGACTATTGATATCCTCACCTTTTCCTCGTATTCGTTTGGTTTCAGCAAAATGTATATC